TCGTTTTTGTCGGTGCGATTGCCGTGGTGGCGGTGGGTGCAGCCGAGCCGAGTGTCGTCGTTGACGGCACCGAGCTCGTCTTTCGACTGCCTCGCTTCCTCTACGGGCGCGGGGACCCGTGAGTCAGCGCACAGTCAAAGTAACTGGTGTGCGTTGAATGTCTGTTGTCGTCGAGGTTCTGCTGGGTCAGCTCACCGATGTGGTCCCGGCCGGCCTACGCGACAGCATCTGGATACTGCTCGGCCGCTGACGCCTCTACCCGTACTACTCAAAAGTACAATATACTTTCTCACAGCACTAGCGAGATTTCGCGCGGAGGGCGTAGTGAAGCGCTGGGGCGCTCACTGTGTGTTATTCGGGTGGGGATCCATCAGTGGTAACCGGCTTTAGTCACAGATCCAAGCTCAGACGCCACACCAACACCACAACACGCTCACTTCGCCGCTGCTGTAGATGGGCCCCCGGGGGCCCATACTACGTCAGTCGGAGTGCCTTCTTGGTGGCAAAATCGGCAAAATCGGCAAAATACCGGGTATTTTGCGGGTATACCTGGAAAAACCCGGGTATACCCGGGTAATACCCGCACTTTTGCATGGTTTCGCCCCCGGGACCACACCGACAGCCGCTACAACTAATGAAAACCCCGCATACCACTTTCGCATACCACTATACCATACCACTCCAAAGTTAATCAAAATATCGCCAAATACCGGTCTCATACCGGTAAAGTTTGAGCACTGGGCCAGATCCCCGCAGCGCAGAGGCTAGTTCCATTTCACTCTGACACGCTAATCTTGAAAACGTCCAACGGAGCTCCGTGTTGCTCCCAGCGCCCTCCCCCGCGCTTCCTGCGGCCATGGCCGATGATACTAGTATGAGAGGTCATCTGGCTACCGCGAGCGCGACTCAACTCGCCGACGTCGTCCGATGATTGTGCCTCAAAGTCAGCCTCCGGAGGCTATCGTGGGGTCGAGCCGGCAGTAGCCGTGACATGTGGTTCCACCACCCCTCGTATGCTTTGCCTCTGACCGCCACCGTTCCCAGGCTGCCAAATGGGATGGAAAGGAAGGCTCGGCGAGCGTATAGAAGCGTGCTCGACCTCGTCGTGGCAACCTGCACGGCAGCGCTGGTAGGCGCGATGAGCGTCGTGCCACCTGACCCGAGACGGGTCGCAGGCGTCGTACCGAGCGCGTCGAGACCGTGTCCTGATGTGATATGCACGGGTGAGTCACGTCGGCGTCAAAGGAGCGACGTGCGACCTGTCAGAGCTTGATCTCCGATCTCAGCGGCGTCGAGTCGTCTCCGGCGCGCGACAAAGGTACATCCCCAGGACGCGCAGAGGCAGCTGATGATCGGAGATCAAGCGCTGACAGGTCGCACGTCGCGCGTTTGACGCCGACGTGACTCACCTGTGCATATCACATCAGGACACGGTCTCGACGCGCTCGGTACGACGCCTGCGACTTGTCTCGGGTCAGGTGGCACGACGCTCATCGCGCCT